GCGATCTCGGCTCACCACAACCTCCGCCTCCTGGGTTCAAGCAATTCTCCTGCCTCAACCTCCTGAGTAGCTGGGATTACAGGCACGTGCCACCATGCCCAGCTAATATTTTGTATTTTTAGTAGAGACAGGGTTTCACCATGTTGACCAGGATGGTCTCGATCTCTTGACCTCGTGATCCACCCGCCTCGACCTCCCAAAGTGCTGAGATTACAGGCACATACCACCATACTCGGCTAATTTTTTAATACTTTTAGTAGAGACAGGGTTTTTCCATGCTGGTCAGGCTAGTCTCGAACTCCTGACCTCAGGTGATCCACCCCCCTGCCTCAGCTTCCCAAAGTGTGAGATTGAGCCACCACGCCTAGCCTATTGTGGTATATTTCTGAGCTCCCTATTCTGCTCCATTGTTCTATTCATCTGCCCTTGTGCCAATACCATGCTGTCAAGATAATTTTAGCTTTATATAAATATTGACATTTGATAGATCAAATCTTTTTACCTTGTTGTGGCCTATCTGGGCTATTCCAGGCCTTTGGGGTTCCTGTATAAGTTTTATAATCAGTTTGTTAAGCCACAACACATACTCGCATGAACTCACATAGAACACACGTATATTCACATACAAGCTTTTGAGAGTTCAGTTGGAATTACATTGAACTGTAGGTCAATTTGGGCAGAATTTAAATTTTGCAATATTGAATCCTCTAAGAAGAGAGTGCGTGTATTTAGGTTTTTAATTTCTCTCAATATTTATATTTTCTTATATATCTTTTGTTAGACAAATTCAAAGGTGCTATTTTCCATACTATTATAAATGGTAACTTTTAAAAAATAATTTTCTAATTATTTCCCAATGTATAAAAATTTACTTAATCCTTTGCTAATAAAAACTTTTCCATAATTTTTTATTCCTATAATTTATGTATATGTTATTTTGAATTTTCTATGCAAGCAATCATATCATCTAAAGATAATTTTCTTTCCCCCTTTCCATATGTTAAACCTTTCATTCTTTTTTCTTGTTCTGTGCACTGGCTAGCACAGTGCTGAATATAACAGGTGACAGTAGGCATCCTTTTCTAATTCCCAATCTCAAAGGAAAAGCTCTCAAATTTCACCATTTAATATGTTTTTACAGCCTTTTAAAGATAGATATTTTATCCAAATGTACTTTAGAAAGAAAAAATAAATAAAAATAGATATTCTTTATTACATTAAGGAAATTGCTTTCTAGCATTAGTTTGCCCAATGTTTTATGACAAATACATGTTGAATTTCGTAAATTTTTTCTGAATAATTTGAGAAGATTTTTAAAAAATTTAATCTGTTAATATGCTGAATTACTTTGACGGATTTTCTGATGTTAATTCAATTTTGCATTCCTGGGATAAACCTAACTTCATCATAAATTATCATTCTTTTCCTACAATGCTGGATTTGACTTGCTAATATGTATGTCTTCAGGATTTTTGTAACTTTCCCCATGAATAAGACTGGCCTGTCATTTACTTCCTTGCAGTACTCTTGTCAGATTTTGATATCAAGGTTATTCTAACTGCTTAAAATAAAGTGGGTAATATACCCTCTTTTGCTGTCTTCTGGAAGAGTTTGTATTAAGTTACAATTATTTCCTCTAAATTATTGCAAAAAAAAACTCATCCCTAAAGCCTTCTGATTTCACCTTCTTTTGGGTAGGTTTTCAATTTCTAGTTCCATTTCTTTAAAAGTTATGAGAAGTCAAATACTTTTTATTTCTTTTTTGCATCAACTTTGCTATATTTTATTTTTCTAAAAAAGTTTCCATTTCATTTAAATGTTTTAAAGTTTTACAGAAACTTACTCATTTTGTCTTCTTTTTAAATATATATACATTTTATCAAAGGTAGCTTTTGAAAAAAAGAAGAAAAAATATATAGTGATGGTCATTTCACTTTTATAATATTAGTTTCATTTGCCTTGTTGCTTTTTTCTTGATAAGTCTCACTAGAAGTTTATTCGTTTTTGGCTTTTCAAAGAACCACATTTTAGCTTGTTGATCTACTCTATTGTATTCTTTTTAGAGAAATAATAAATATACATATTTCACAGTTTAGAGTAAATATAGAGAACTGGCTTAGAATCAGAAAACTATATTCAGACCTTGATTCTATCATCTGGCAACTATTTGAGATTCAGTTTTTTACCTCTAAAATGGGCTAAAATACCAGTCCCAGCCACTTCATAGATGTGAAAGCCTAACAAATGTAATGTAGTAATATTTGTATATGCCTCAGCTCTGTATTTCAAATGCAGTAGATATTCTGAAAGCAATTCTTGAATAGCCACATTTAACTTTTGTTAGGTGTTTCTTATGTGTCTGGCTCTATTTTCGATGTTTTAATTGCTTTGTCTCATTTAATGCAGCCTCACTACTATCTTACGAGGTAAGCAGTTATTATCCCTATATTACAGATGAAGAAACTGACACTCAAAGAGGTTGAACACAATTAACTTTTAGATTCACTTTATATAATCTGACTGATTAATATAGAGAAAGCACAGATGAAGGACATTATAGTTATTATCCCTATTAATATAGTTGAAAAGCTTTGAGAACAGGGAATTCTATTTACCAATAAAAAAAAGTAAATTCTCTCTCACCACTTTTGTCTATAAGCCTTCCCTGCCCAGTATATACATTCACCATGTTTTGATATTTCTTAGAATATCATTTACTTGCTCAGTAAATAATTGATTAATCACCTACTGTCTGGTAGGTGAGTAGGTGCTTTGATAGGCATTGGTATTAAGAAATGAATTAAAAACCTAGTCTCTGCTTTCTTTGAATTTAAAGTGGGAAAAGGGGATATAAACAGGTAAATTATAAATCATGATATGTTTGATGAAGGCAATAAATGTGGTACAGTGATATCATGAGTAAGGACATTTCAGAATAGATGATTCTGAAAATCGTCCCCTGCAAAGTGACATTTAAGTTAAGACCTGAAGACTAGGCAGGCAACCACGCAATGAGAAGGGAAAAGGGAAAGCATTTCTGGCAGAGGGATGTGTGGAAAAAGTTTGGTGTATCAGAAACTCTAAATACAAACCAGTGTGACAGGAGTTCAGTGGGAGAAGGAGAAATAAGATGGTTTTAAAGAGCTAGACAAGGGCAAGAGCTTACAAAGCTAGGTGAGCTAGTGGGATTTGGAGTAAAGGACCACTGAAACATTCTCAGCAGGGGTGTCAAGTAGTCTAATTTATGTTTTTAAAAGAAAATTTGGCCATAGCATTAAAGGATAGTTTAGAAGGGAGTAAAAATGGAAGTGGTAGGACAAGTGCAGAGGTAATTGCCATATCCCAGTTTAGAGATGATGCTCTAGACTAAGGTGGTGGCAAAGAGGACACAAATGGATTAGTGTAGGATATATTTGGGAATAGAGTGACAGCATGTGCCAAATGTTTGGCATTGGTTCACGGTGGAAAAGGAAGACTCAGGGATTACTGACCTGTACAAAAGTTTGGATGATGGCATTATTTACTGAAATTGGGAAGACAGAGGGAAAAGACGACTTTGGAGACATGGGCCGAATCAAGGAGTTTCATTTTGATAATTATTGGCATAAAATGGCATTTCATATTATAGAAATGGATAGCAAATCATCCACTTTCCAGGCCTAGAGTAGTTCAGTAATACTTACATGTTGGGTGGCACTGGAAGAGTCTACAAAGGAGACCAAGAAAGAGCAGCAGAGAAGTAAGTGAAAACCAGCAAAGTTTGGTATCACAGAATGCTACTGAGAGGTAACTTGTCCATTTGGATTTATTTGGCAATGAAGAGGTCAGTTAGTGTCCTTGGTGGAAAGTTTCATTGGAGTAGTGGGGATGAAAGCCAGTTTGGAGCAGATTGAAGAAAGGATGGAAAATGTTTAGACCGTGCGTATATAGAAATCAGGAAAATTCCTTTGTCTGGCTGCCCTCTGACTAAACTTTGGAAACTCTTACTAACATATGGCAGCTCCAGAGAGGTACTCAGCCATATGACGTTGGTGTTTGTTAGCTTTTAGGGGACTATTCTCCTGTGAAAGCTGCTTATTGTAGTTCACATTCATTCCACACTTATTTGTATTATTCTTATTTATTCTCTACCTCTAGATAAAGATTGAACTAAAGCATGCCCAACAGAAGTTATTAGACAGTACAAAGATGTGCTCTTCACTCACAGCAGAGTGCAAGCATTGTCAGCAGAAAATCAAGGAACTGGAGTTGGAAGTACTTAAGCAGACTCAGAGCATTAAATCACAGAACAACCTACAGGAAAAGCTGGCTCAGGAGAAATCTAAAGTTGCTGATGCAGAGGAAAAGGTAATTATCCTCATGCTTAATAAATAGCATACACTGAATGCCACTACTGAAATCTTATTTCCCTGAGGATTTTAAGAAATAAATATGATGCAGACTTGATAGAATTTTAATTTTTTTTTAACTCTCCCGTGTTTTCTTCTGTTTTGGTTTTACCTGTTTCTACAATTTCAGTAATTTTTGTGTATTTGTAAAAACTTCATGGACTTAAAAAGGTAAGCTTTATTAAAGCTATAACATGAGCTTAAAGAACTGACTGAGCCCATATGACTTTTGTTTTATACTTTGGCATTTGAGAAGACTTATTATTCTCTCATTTGGATTGGCTGTTAATGTAAATTTTGTTTTAATTTTGTTTTTTTCATCGACAATTGTACATGTTTCATGGGTGCATAGTGATATTTCAATACATATAATGTATAGTGATCAGATCAGGATAATTATATTCATCACATCAAACATATTTTGTAATTTTGTAGGGGGATTTGTGTTGTGAAATGAACCATTTTGAAATATTGCCCCTTCATTTTAGGTTGCCCAACACTAGGTGGCAGTAGTATGTAACACTTGTACGTTTTGATGTGCAAGTTTGAGAGTTCAACTGGATAAAAAAAAATTTCATCAGACCATACAATAAGAAGCAAACATCAAAAAATAGATGACAGCAATCTGAATTAAACTAAAAAATCTAAAGTTAAAGAAACCACAACAAAAGAGTTCACACTATATGATTCCATGTGTATAAAGTTCATGAATAGATAAAATGAAGCTGTGGAGATAAGATAGTAGTTATTCTTGTGACAGGTATTGACTGAAGGGGGCACGAGGGAATCCTCTGTGGTGCTGCAAGTATTCTGTATCTTGCTCTGGGAAGCAGTTATACAAGTCAAATTTCATTGAGTACACTTAAGATATGTCTGTTATTTACCATATGTATATATGGGTGTGACTTTACCATATGGATGTTATTATTCCATTAAAAAACAATTGATAAAATTGGTAAAGATTGGCAAGATTTTAAAATTTCAACAATACTAACTATTGGTGAGGATTTGGTGCAAGAAGACCTCATATATATTGACTTCACTTGGAAGAGATAATTAGTATAAATGTTTTAAAGATGTATGTGTCATACATCTTAACACTTCTAGGCATAAGAAAAACTCTTATACTGCATGTATGTATCAGGAGACAGAAATACAGTCATGTTCATAGTATCATTGTTCTGAATAGCAGAAAACTAGAAACAACCAAAATGTCCCTGACACACATCAAAAAAATAAATTGTATATTTATACAGTAGTATTACTGGTAAGCTGAGTTCTTTCTCTCACTTTGTATCAGTGACAAAGAAAGGGCATTCAGGCTACTCTGCCTATGGGGTAGCCCTGCTCTGTCTGTGTAGCAGCCATTTCCCTAGAATTAACTTATTTAAAAAAAAAAAAAAAAAGGGAGAGAGCGAGAGAGACAGAGAAAGGAGGGAGGGAGGGAGGAAGGAAAGAAGGAAGGAGAAAAGAGAAAAAGCAGCAAGGAAGGCAGGCAGGCAGGAAGGAAGGAAGGAAGTGAGAAAGGGAGGGAAGGAGGGAGGCAGGAAGGGAACAAAGGAAGGAAGGAAAAAGAAAAGAGAAAGAATGGCCAGGTGCAGTGGCTCATACCTGTAATCCCAGCACTTTGGGAGGCCAAGGAGGGTGGATCACCTGAGATCAGGAGTTTGAGACCAGCCTGGATAAAATGGTTAAATTATACATTTTACTAATAATATAAACATAATACTAATAATGCAAAATAATATAAAAATTAGCCAGGTGTGGTGGTGTGTACCTTTAATCCCAGCAACTTGGGAGGCTGTGCCAGGAGAAGCACCTGAACCCTGGAGGCAGAGGTTGTAGTGAGCTGAGATTGTGCTATTGCACTCTAGTCTGGGTGATAAGTGCAAAACTCTGTTGGAAGGGAGGGAGGGAGGGAGGGAAGGAAGGAAGGAAGGAAGGAAGGAAGGAAGGAAAGAAGGAAGGAAGGAAGGAAGGAAAGAAGGAAGGAAGGAAGGAGAGAGAAAAGAAAAAGAAAAGGAAAGAAAGAAAAAGGAAGGAAGGAAAGAGGGAGGGAGGGAAGGAGGGAAGGAAGAAAGGAAGGAGAAAAGAAAAGGAAATAAAAAAAGAAAAAGGAAAGAAGGAAGGAAGGAAGGAAAGATGGAAGGAAGAAAGGTAGACTGGTTTTACTCACTGGCCAGGAATGGAGGATAAGCTCCTTCTCCCTGAATAAGAGAAGGCATAGGGTTTTTAAGGACTGGGTGCAGGGTGGAAGAGGAATGTTAGCATGTGCAGGGTGGCACTGCAGATGCACAGGCTCAATGTATAAACACACATCTTCATACAACACGTATACAAACTGGTGGAGATTTTCTTTTAGAGGTGGGAATTTGAGCATTATAATGATATGTTAATGATTTAAAGGCAACTAGGGGTCCTCAGTTTGCTCTAATTTGCAAGGTCTTATCTTCCTCTTGTATCTCATTAGGGGTCACTATATTCTGGTACCATTCCAGGCTGTCAGTTTCTTTAAGCAATTATGCCTTTAAATAAAGGGACTAAAGAAAAACAGTAAAAAAAAGAACTTTCCCAGTTATTTCATCAGGGCTGCCCCGGTAACAATAGCATGCAACAATGAAAATGAGTGAACTATAGGTACATATTGTAGTTCAATGCAATAAAATTTTTGTTTTGTTTTGTTTTGTTTTTTTGTTTTTTTTGTTTTTGTTTTTTTTTTTGAGACGGAGTTTCGCTGTTGTTGCCCAGACTGGAGTGCAATGGCACGATCTCGGCTCACCGCAACCTCCGCCTCCTGGGTTCAAGCAATTCTCCTGCCTCAGCCTCCCGAGTAGCTGGGACTACAGGCACGCACCATCATGCCCAGCTGATTTTTGTATTTTTAGTAGAGACGAGGTTTCACCTTGTTGACCAGGATGGTCTCGATCTCTTGACCTTGTGATCCACCCGCCTCGGCCTCCCAAAGTGCTGGGATTATAGGCGTGAGCCACCGCGCCCGGCCGCAATAAAATTTTTAAGTCACCAAAATACAGTATGAATCCATAGATTTAAAAAAGTCAAAATAAAAACTATTAGCATGGTGGTTCATACCTATAATGAACCTATAATCCCAGCCCTTTGGGAGGATGAGGTGGGAGGATCACTTAAGCCCAAAGTTCAAGACCAGCCTGAGCAACATAGTGAGACCCTATCTCTACAACAATAAATAAGTTAGCTGGGCATAGTAGTGTGTGCCTGTAGTACCAGTTGTTCTGGAGGCTAAGGCAGGTGATCACCTGGGCGATATAGCAAGACCCTGTCTCAAAAAAACAAAACAAACAAAAAACCTATCATATATCTATATATATAGAGATTATTAAAAAGAAAAGGCAAGGATGTGATTAACATAGCAGGATATTGGTTTTCTTTGGTGGGGAGGGAAGAGGGATAATCAAAGAGGGTCACAGAGGGGCTTGAAAAGTATTAGAAATGTTCCCTTTCTTAAATTATGTGGCAGGTTCAAAAGTTTGGCATGTATCCTTGACAGAGAAGCCAATGAAGTGATGCTTTTGTCTGTGGAATTAGTACTGCATTCCTTAAGTAAGAAGTCTCCCTAGACAGAACCAAATAGAACAGTGCCAGGGAACTTGAGCTGACCTCAGATGGCTGGCTGCCTACTGCCATTGCCCTTGAATCAGTCTGCATCTTCACCTCTCTTCATGCTGTGTGGACTATGCAGAGACCTAGGCACCAGGGCTTGGGATTGATGCAGAAAGCCCCTCTCTTAGAAAACGGGTGCCACCCACTGGCATTCACTGAATATTCATGGCGAATGTGATGCCAAGCCATTGTAAAGGATTCCTTATTGGGTCAGGAATACATTAGAGGGATAACAGCTACCCTGCTGAAATCTATTCATTCAACAAATATTTATTGAGCACCTACTATGTACCAGGCACAATTTAAGGTGACACATGGGTTTATAAAAATAACTAAAAACACATTTGAAGGAAATTAACAAAAATGTAGTGGTTTTTTGCTACTACATGAAAAAGGAAAGAAAAAATGTTTTTAAATGACACTTTAGCATATAAACTCTAAAATATAACTATCTGTCTCTCTTTCAAATTCATGCATCATATTTTTAGTTTTCCCAGAGCATTAGAGAACCTATTATTGATGCTAAGCAATATGCTAACAGGTGCTTGGTTTATAAGAGACTTCTACTTTGTTTTGTGGTGTTATTTGTGAATCTAGCCACACTGTGGAGAAACTAGGTGCACTCACGCAGTGCTATTGGAAGCATAAATTGGTCTAATACCTGTGGAGGCAGTTTGGCATTATCTATCCAACAAACAAATACTCATAACCTTTGCCCTAGTAAATCCAAACCTCATAATTTAATCTACAGACATTGTTTGTAATTGTATTGTTTATAATAGAAAAAGTTTGGAATCAGCTTAAATGTTCACCAGTAGGGCACTGTGTTCATCACAGGGCACTGTGAAATAAGTTATGATATATCCTTACAGTGGAGTGGAATGCAGCTATAAAAGAGAAGACAACTCAATATGTGCATATAATATGGAAAAATGACCAAATGCTTATTGCTATAAAAAAACATGGTGCCTAATTACATCTAGTATAGTATGTCATCGTTTGTATAAAATTTATATGTATGTGGGATAACTCTATGTGTTTATATATGAATAAATCTCTGGAAGGGTACACAAGAAATTAAAAACCATTGTCATCTATTTGGTGGAGGAAAATTTGGAGGACGTAGAACAGGGATGGGAAGGAGACTTTTCACTATATAGCTTCTTTTTTTTGTTTGTTTGTTTGTTTTTGAGACAGGGTCTCACTGTCACCCAGACTGGAGTGCAGTGGCACAATCATAGCTAACCGTAGCCTCAGCTTCCCTGGGCTCAATTGATTCCTCTCACCTCAGATTCCTGAGTAGGTGGGACTATAGGCACTGACCACCATGCCCAGCTAATTTTTATATTTTTTTTTGTAGGGATAGGGTTTCACCATGTTGCCCAGGCTGGTCTCGAACTCCTGAGGCTCAAGCGATCCACCCAGCTCAGCTTCCCACAGTTCTGCGATTATAGGCATGAGCCACCATGTCTGGCCTATAGCTTCTTTTATACACACACATTGAATTATATGAATGCGTTACATACTGCAAAATTAAACAATTTATTTTAAAATTAAATCTAGCTACTCTCTTTACTTCAGGTCAGATTAATATGTTAGCACTGCTATGTTTGCTATTTGTAAGTTATTCTGCTAATTTGAAAAAAGTCACACTGTTCTTAATGCTTTACTTGTAAACTTTTTTCCTTCCAAGATTTTGGACCTGCAGCAGAAATTAGAACATGCTCATAAAGTCTGTCTCACAGACAGTTGTATTTCAGAGAAGAAGCAGCTAGAGGAAAAGATAACAGAAGCAACAGAAAATGAAGCTAAAATAAAGCAACAATATCAAGAAGAACAACAGAAGAGGTAAGAGGAGCACAGATCTCAGTTTCCTGTGGGTTTAGCCATGACTGAGTTAATCAGCAGCATCAATTTACTCTAACAAAATATCAGAGAGTATTTCTGTTCTCTCCCCACTGAAGTAAACTCGGTTTACTTCACAATTCCTGATGTATTGCACTTATCACACTGTATTCTAATTGTTTATTTTCTTTTTTGTTTGTTTGTTTTATTTTGTTGTTGTTTTGTTTTGTTTTGAGATGGAGTCTCATTCTGTCGCCCAGACTGGAGTACAGTGGCACGATCTGAGCTCACCGCAACATCTGCCTCCCAGGTTCGAGCAATTCTCTTGCCTCAGCCTCCTGAGTAGCTGGGATTACAGGCACGCACCACATGACTGGCTAATTTTTTTGTATTTTTTTTAGGAGACAAGGGGGTTTCACCATGGTGGCCAGGCTGGTCTCGAACTCCTGACCTTGTGATCCGCTTGCCTCAGCCTCCCAAACTGCTGGCATTACAGGTGTGAGCCACTGCACCTGGCATCTAATTGTTCATTTTCTAGTTTATCTTTGGCAGAGATTATTTCTTCTGGTTCTGGGACACACCTAATATAACAGTAAATATTCTTGACTGACTTGCCTATGAAACACTCTGGAATTTGCTCTAACATGTAGTCTGACAAACTTTAGTTTACAATGAAGTTGATGTTTTATACAAGGTAACTTCAGAAAGTTTGTGGAAAAATTGAATTGAAAAATAAAATTTAAAAAAATATGGGCCGGGCACGGTGGCTCAAGCCTGTAATCCCAGCACTTTGGGAGGCCGAGGTGGGTGGATCACAAGGTCAAGAGATCGAGACCATCCTGGTCAACATGGTGAAACCCCGTCTCTACTAAAAATACAAAAAAAATTAGCTGGGCATGGTGGCACGTGCCTGTAATCCCAGCTACTCAGGAGGCTGAGGCAGGAGAACTGCCTGAACCCAGGAGGTGGAGGTTGCGGTGAGCCGAGATTGCTCCATTGCACTCCAGCCTGGGTAACAAGAGCGAAACTCCGTCTCAAAAAAAAAAAAAAAAAAAAAATGTTGGCCTGATGCAGTGGCTCACACCTGTAATCCCAGCACTTTGGGATGCTGAGGTAGGAGGAAAAAAAAGTTATCCAGGCATGACAGTGCAGTCCTGTAGTCCTAGCTACTCAGGAAGCTGAGGCAAGAGATCACTTGAGCCAGGAGTTTGAGGCTGCAGTGAGCCGTGATTGCAATACTGCACTCCAGCCTGGGTGGCAGAATGAGACCCTGTCAAAAAAAACCACTTTATTTCTCAACATAAGCTCCATCAAGGTTCAGGCACTTTTGTAAGTGATGATGCAAACCATTTAGTCCATCCCTAAAGAATTGAGTGAGAATCCTGGGAATTTAGCAATGTCATTGCAGTCTTTTGCTCAGTATTAAGCAAAGCGAAATGGTTGCCTATTAAATATTTTTTAAGATTGGGAAACAAAAGTAAGTCAGAAGGTGCCAAATCAGGACTGTAAGGTGGATGCCTAATAATTTCCCGTCAAAACTCTTGGAAAATTGCTCATTTGATGAGAGGAATGAGCAGGAGCATTGTCATGGTAGAGAAGGACTCTCTGGTGAAGACTTCCTAGACATTTTTAAAAAATAAAGCTTTGGCTGCCTTTCTCAAAACACTCTCATAATAAACATGGTATCATTTGGACTTCTAGAAAGTCAATAAGCAAAATCCTTTGAGCATCACAAAAAACTGTTGGCATGACCTCTGCTCTTGACTTGTCCACTTTTACTGTGATTGGACCACTTCCTCCTTTTAGTAACCGTTTCTTTGATTGTGCTTTGTCTTCAGTATCATTGGTAAAGCCATGTTTCTTCTCCTGTTACAATTCTTCAAAGAAATCCTTCATCCCACTAGTTTAAAATTCCTATTGAAAGCTTTGCTCCTGTCTGTAGCTAATCTGAATGCAACAGTTTTGGCACCCATCAAGTGGAAAGTTTGCTAAACTTTATCTGTCCAAATTGCGGTATAAGTTGAATCAATTGAGATGTCTATGATGTTGGCTATTGTTTCCGCTGCTAATCATCAGTCTTCTTCAATTAGGGCACAAAAAAAGATTAATTAATTTTTTTCCCTGTAAATTGATGTGGATGGTCTGGCACTGTGGGCTTCATCTTCAAAATCATCTCATCTCTTCTTAAAATGACTTATGCATTTGTAAACTGCTGATTTCTTTGGGGTGTTGTCTCTCTAAACTTTTCATTAAAGCATCAATGACTTCCCCATTCTTCCACCTTAATTTCTTAATGTATTTAATGTATTTAATTTTCTTGCTTCAGTTTTAGCAGAATTCATGTTGCTCTGATAGTAGTTCTTTTCAAACTAATACCTTATCCTTAGTGCCTCAAACTGGATCGTGTTCAGACATGTTACGACAGGTTAGTACAAATTTATTTTGGTGCAAAAAACTTTCAAAATCCACGCATAGTTTTTTCATAATATTCATTTTCCATTAACTTTTTGAAGACCCCTCATATTTATAAGCTGATTTTCTTCAAAACAGTTACAGGTACTTTATAGGTATCTTAACCATCAACAAACTGCTACCAGATAAGAGCTGTCATATATTTGTTTTCTAAAATGATTATGGTTATTATGATGATTCTTACTTAAAGCATCTTCTTGGATGCCCTAAACTTCAGTAACTGATGCTTTGCTTCTTATTCATGTACCACTGAGAGTGGTTCCCATATATTTTTTCTTTATTTTTAATTGATACATAATTATACATATTTGCAAGATACATATAATATTTTTATACATGTATACAATGTGTAATGATCAAATCACAGTATTTGGGATAGCCATCACATCAAACATTTATCATTTCTTTGTGTTGGGAACATTTCAAAGCTTCTCTTTTAGTGCTTTTGAAATATACAGTAAATTATTTTTAACTTTAGTCATCCTACGGTGCTATTGAACACTAAACCATATTCCTTTTATCCAACTGTATGTGTGTCTCCATTAACCAACCTCTCTTCTTTCCCCTGCTTCCCAGGCTCTGGAACTGTCATTCTGCTCTCCTTCCATGAGATCAACTTTTTTTATTCCCATATATGAGTGAAAACATGCAATATTTGCTTTCTGTGCTTGGCTTACCTCGCTTAACATAAGAACCTCCAGTTCTATCCATGTTGCTACAAATGACAGGATTTCATTCTTTTTTTATGGCTGAATAGTATTCCATTGCAATCCATGTATATTTTAAGAAGAAATATGGTTTCAGCCACTAAAAAGGTGCTGGTATTCACATATACTCTGTGGCTCAGAAACTTACTTTCAGCTCTTGTTGAAAACTCTAGCATAAGGCACTCAATAGATAATAAATACTTATTGAATGAATGAATGAATGAATGTTTGATTAAGTGAATGAATTAATTTATGTATAAATAAACAATGAATTCACTCAGTGAGCTGCTGTGGAAAAATACTTGTCTCAACTGCCACTTCTAGCAGGATGGCAGACTGTCCTCCTTATCTCTAAAGTGGGAATTATAATGCCAGTTCTATATATCTTTTGTGAAGATTTGCTAAGAAAAAATATGTATGCACTATTTAACTAAGTGCAGGAAAGTAAAATATATAGGGAAATTCTCCCACCAAAAGGGGACTCTATAATTTATGTTGTTTCATAATCTGGAAGAAAATGACCCTGATTTAGATAGTTAGATTGTAATCTACTTTTTCACTTAAAATATTATGATCTGTTTATCTTACATTACATTTTTTCTAGAATACTGTTTTAATGATATGTCACAATTTATTTAATAAATGCTTTATTGTTGAACATTTAGATTTTTCCCAGTTTCTTCAGTGACATATATCCTGACACATCATAAGCACTTATATCAGGAAATAGAACCAGTTGAATCTATATTTAAGAACAGCCTTATTACAGGGATTTGGTCTCATGCAGTTGTGGGAGCTGGTTCTGCAGTCTGCATGACTGTCATCTTTGCATCTTATGCTAGAGCTTGAGGTCTGCAGGGCAAACAATCAGAAAGTGAAGACGAATGTAAAGTGGGAGAGCAACAACAAGGTGGAAACCGTGAGGATGGACTGGAACCTATGTCAGTTCTTGCTGCCTCTAACCTTGATAAAGAGTAGGTATCCTACAGGAGAAACTGGCACCCTTCATCAAGGAGCTAAATAGACATCTGGCCCAGGTGATGGGAAAGGTGAAGGAGGATTCAAGGGAAGGTGGAGCAGTTGTAGGCCTTGCTGTTGTGTCATGCCAAGGTGAGCAGCAGATATCTAGCAGTGTTCATAAGCTATAAAAGTTCCTGCTCCAACCCTCCACCTGTAAAAACCAAAATGTTTCAATCCTGTTCTCTAAATCTTGTGCAAATATATCTCCTGTGGCCCACTATAACCAGAAACTTACATGGAAGGAATTCTGGGAAACAAGGCAAGTCAAAATGTTACAAAGCCACTCTATTAAAAATGTACTTTTTGGCTGGGTGAAGTGGCTTATGCCTGTAATCCCAGCACTTTGGGAGGCCAAGGCAGGCAGATCACTTGAGGTCGAGAGTCGAGACCAGCCTGACCAACCTGGAGAAACCCTGTCTCTACTAAAAATACAAAATTAGCCGGGCTTGGTGGCACATGCCTATAATCCCAGCTACTCAGGAGGCTGAGGCAGGAGAATCGCTTGAACCCGGGAGGCAGAGGTTGCAGTGAGCCAAGATCGTGCCACCGCACTCTAACCTGGATGACAGGGCAGGCAAAACAGGTGAGACTCCATCTCAAAAAAAAAAAAAAAAAAAAAAGTGTTGTTGCTATTGTAATATTTGCTGTTATTGTTGTTAATATTGTCATCATTATCATCATAAACTTCTTCAGTAAGGTGAAAAAAGTTCATTTGGCCAGAACAAAATATTTAGAGACAAGGAAAGTGGCAAGAAATTGAGGCTGGAAAGGTAAGCTAGACCTAGGTCAGGTAGAACTTAACAGACCACACTGAGTTTGGACCTGTTCATGAAGATATTGGTCTGTGGTTTTCCTGTCACATAATATCTGTATCTGGTTTTGGTATTAGGGTAATGTTTGTCTCAAAAAATTACTTAGGAAGTGTCCCCTCTACTTCAATTTTTTTTTGAAAGAGATTGCAGAGAATTGGTATTTCTTTCTTCAATGTTAGGTAGAATTCACCAGTGAAATCATCTGAACCTAGTGCTTTATTTTCTGGAAGGTAACTAATTATTGATTCAATTTCTTTTTTTTTTTTTTTGAGACGGAGTTTCACTCTTGTTACCCAGGCTGGAGTGCCATGGCACGATCTTGGCTCACCACAACCTTCGCCTCCTGGGTTCAGGCAATTCTCCTGCCTCGGCCTCCTGAGTAGCTGGGATTACAGGCACGCGCCACCATGCCCAGCTAATATTTTGTATTTTTAGTAGAGACGGGGTTTCACCATGTTGACCAGGATGGTCTCGATCTCTTGACCTCGTGATCCACCCGCCTCGGCCTCCCAAAGTGCTGGGATTACAGGCTTGAGCCACCGCGCCCGGCTGATTCTATTTCTTTAACAAATATAGGCTGACTTAGATTATCTATTTGTGTCTTTCAAGGAATCAGTACATATAATGTAAGTTATCATATTTGTAGACAGAGTTGTTCATAATATTCCTTTATTATCCTTTTAATGTCCATGGGATTAGTAGTGGTGGCCCCTCTTTCCTTTTTCATATTATGTTTTAAATAATGTCTTATTTGTAAAATAGAGATGGGGCTTTGCTGTGTTGCCCAGGGTGGTCTCAAGTTCCTGGGTTCAAGTGATACTTCTGCCTCAGCCTCCCAAAGTGCTGGGATTATAGATGTGAACCATTGCACCTGGTCCCATTTTTTATTTTATTAATGTTTGTCTTCTCCATTTATTACTTAGCCTGGCTAGAGGTTTATCTGTTTTATTCATCTTTTCCAAGAACAAACTTTTGGTTGCATTTTTTTTCTCTATTGTTTTCCTATTTTCAAGCCCATTGAATAATACTCTCATTTTTATTATTTCTTTGCTTCTGCTTGCTTTAGGCTTATAATGTTCTTCTTTCTCTAGTTTCCTAAGGTGGAAGCTTAGATTACTGATTTTAGATTTTTCTCCCTTTATAATATATACATGTAATACTACAAGTTTTCTGCTTTGTTGTAGCCTATAAATTTTGTAAGTTGTATTTCATTTTCATTTAGTTCAAAATATTTTTAATTTATTGAAACCTCCTCTTTGACTCATGTATTATTTAGAAGTGTTTTGTTAATCCCAAATATTTAGAATTTCTCATCTCTCTTTTTCTAATTCATTTATCGTTTCATAATATCAGTTTAAACAGTTGTGTAACATTCTGTTACATAGATATATCATACTTTATGTAATACTGATATCTTTTAGACTTTTTTGCTATTATAATGCTATAATAAATATCTGTATACATAAGATTTTGCAACTGCAATGAAGTATGATGAAGTGTGGTAAGTGTTATACTAAAGGAGGTTTAGGTTGCCATGATAGTACATAACATGGATACTTATGAAGTGAGGGAGTTTAAGAAAGACTTTCTCAAAGAAACTGATTTAAGCTGAGAATGAAGTAGTTGGTATCAGGAAGCTAAATAGAGAATAGTGTGGAGGACGACTTTGAGGAAGTGAAACAGTTCATTGGTTGAAAGAAAATGAGGTTAGGGACAATGGTGAGAAAATAAGATGAAGAAGGTGAGGTAGGCCTAGCTCATGCAGAACCTTAGTTTTTTGTTTTTTGTTTTAGAGAGACAGGGATCTTGCTCTGTCCCCCAAGCTAGAATACGTGGCAGAATCATGACTCACTGAAGCCCTGAACTCCTGGGCTCAGATGATCCTCCTGCCTCCACCTCCTGAGTAGCTAGGACTATAGCCATGCCCAACATGCCCAGCTAATTAAAAAAAAAAATTTACAGACAGGATCTCTCTATGTTGCTCGAGTTGTTCTAGAACTCCTGGCCTCAGGTGATCCTCCAGCTTCAGCCTCCAAAAGTGTTAGGAGGTGTGAGCCATAGTGTCACAGCTCCTCATGAGCCACAGTGCCCAGCTCCTCATGAGTCATAGTGCCCAGCTCTCATGAGCCGTAGTGCCCAGCTCTCGTGAGCCACAGTGCCCAGCTCTCATGCAGAATCTATTAAGCCATTGTGAACAGTTTGGATTTTACCTTAAGAGTAATGGAGTTCCTAAATCAAAGAACAGAAAAAATATATATAAAAATAAGAGTAATGGGGAGCCACAAAAGGTGGCTAAAATCCACAAAAGGATTTTAAGCAGAAGAAGTTATATTATTAGTTTGCAATTTAGAAGGAACACTGACTACTAAAAGAGGCTTAGGCTACAGAGAGTACAGGGAGTGTTACCAGTACACCAATTTCTTAATTTTGTTCATTGGCAGACCTGATTTATTTGTTAGTCTTTTAATTTTTCAATTAACTTCTAACATATTCATGAGTTGCTCTTTTAATTTTGACTTCCTGCTTTTCTTTTTTTCTTTTCGTAGAGATGGGGTTTCCCTCTGTCACCCAGGCTGTGGTGCAGTGGTGCAATCACAGCTCGCTGCAGCCTTGACCTCCCAGGCTCAAGCACTTCTCCCACCTCAGCCTCCCAAGTAGCTGGGACTACAGGCACATGCCACCATGCCTGTCTAATTTTTTAAAAGTTTTTTATAGAGATGAGTTCTCACTATGTTGCTCAGGCTGCTCCTGAACTTTTGGGCTCGAACAATCCTCCCACCTTGACCTCCCAAAGTGCTGGGATTATAGGTGTGAGCCACCATGCCCAGCCAACTTCCTGCTTTTCAATTCTAGTTTTCAGTCTCAAATTTTACTGCCAATAACTCAAATGTTTTTAGTTTCAGTGGATCAAAACTTCTCTTTTAGTTCAAAGGCTTATTGTTTAGTCTGGAAATTAAGAATGGAGCCAAAAAGAAATAGACTGTACTAGAAGGTATACAGTGAATTAGATGAAGGAGAGATGAAAGAGAGGATATTGGTGTAGAGGTGGATGTGAATGGTAGAAAATTAGCTATAGCAGTCTGCATTTACATCCAAGATACATAAGGAAAAGAACTAGAGGTGAAGAGATGTGAGTCCATGTCTCAAATATGATCATCCCCCAATACCTATTGATTTATCAGAATACTGAAGTTAGAGAAAGCAAACTTATTTGTCTAATGTCCGTATTTTACTGTGCTAGCATGCGGGTAAGACTTTTGCCCACCAGTACCAGTTCATTATCGTCATCATAGTCTTCAAGAGGAATCTCCCAAGTCCAGATAACCTTGGTCTGAAATCCTCAGAAAACTCTTTCCACAAACTGTACTCTATTACTTAAACACCTGAGATTTGGTCTAGGTCCCAAATTTGCTCAGTGCAGAGAAAGTAAAGTACTGAGACAGTGAGTATTGTCAGGGAAGAAGGCTTTATTAGTGTGCCACAGTTGAGGAGAATGGGAGATCAGTCTCAAATCTATCTCCCTGACTAATTTGGGGGATTATAGCAGGGAAGAAATGTAAAACAGGAATTAGTGAGGGGTATGGAACCTAGCATGAGGAATGAGGCATCTCATTTTCTGGATGCTATGATCTGGTGAATTTTAGTTTCTTGCTTGAGCATCAGTCTCTTGAAGGAAGAACTCAGATATAAATATAAAGTTTTAAGACTGAGAGGGTACATTTCTACATTTGTTCAAAAAACTGTAAATGTAATGTCTATGGGACAGTAGGGCTGGGTTCATAATGAGACTGAAAGAGCAAAGTGCTAATGGCCCTTGCAGGGGTGGAGGGAAATTTCCCATCCCCTTCTAAAAGTTTTCTGAAAAGTCACCTGACAAAAGGCAGATTAATAGGAGAAAAAGCAAACAAAATTTTGTTAACATGGGCTGGGGAAAATCAAGTGTGATGACCCAATATCCGACTGTGTTATAGAAGCTTATATACCTGTTTCCAGGGAGAGGGAGACGGGGAATGTAGACAATTCCAGGGGACAATAGCTCATTCAGGAGAATGAAGGGACCCTGGAGACAGAAATTAATTCATAAATTATTCTCCTTGGAATTTGAATTAGTTTAAGAGACAGCCATTATCTTGTGAAAAGGCATGTAGAGGTGTTGTTACATTCCTCAATCTTCTTTTCTGAAGATAGATAAATAATGAGATTTCAGGGAGGGGATGGGAGATAATTGT